AGCCGTGCGGCCCGCGTCCTACCGGCTTCACAGTTTGCCGGCCAGCCCCCAGACCTCCAGACCCTGCCCCCGGCCGGGCGCTTCCCCAGCGCAGCCGGAGCCCAGGAGGGGAAATGCCCGGCCGGGGGCAGGGTCTGGAGGTCTGGGGGCTGCCCGGCAAACTGTGAAGCCGGTAGCACTCGGGCAGCTCGGCTCTTCAGCTACACAGAGCTGAGGTGTCTGGGGGGAGCAGCAGCAGCCGTCTCCACCGCTGCAGCGGGGAATCCGCCTACAGTACGCAGCCTGCCGGAGCCGCTCAGGTAAGCAGGGCACTGGAGCAGGGATGCCGGCATTTCCCGGACATGTTCGGATTTTTGGCATTTCCCCCCGGACGGGGATTTGAGCACCAAAAAGCCAGACATGTCCAGGAAAATCCAGACGTATGGTAACCCTACTGGAAGGGACCTCGAGAGATCATCTAGTCCAGTCCCCTGCACTCAAGGCAGGACTAAGTATTATCTAGACATCCCTGACAGGTGTTTGTCTAACCTGCTCTTAACAATCTCCAGTGATGGAGATTCCACAACCTCCCTGGGCAATTTATTCCAGTGCTTAACCACCCTGACAGTTAAGAAGTTTTTCCTAATGTCCAACCTGAACTTCCCTGGCTGCAGTTTAAGCCCATTGCTTCTTGTCCTATCCTCAGAGGTTAACAAGAACAATTTACCTCCCTCATCTTTGTAACAACCTTTTATGTATTCGAAAACTGTTACCATGTCCCCTCTCAGTCTCCTCTTCTCCAGACTAAACAAACCCAATTTTTTCAATCGTCCCTCATAGCTCATTTTTCTAGACTTTTAATAATTTTTGTTGCTCTTCTCTGGACTTTCTCCAATGTGTCCACATCTTTCCTGAAACGTGGCACCCAGAACTGGACACAATACTCCAGCTGAGGCCTAGAGCGGAAGAATGACTTCTCGTGTCTTGCTTACAAAACTCCTGCTAGTACATCCCAGAATGATGTTTGCTGTTTTTGCAACAGTGGTACACTGTTGACTCATATTTGGCTTGTGATCCACTATGACCCCCAGATCCCTTTCCACAGTACTCCACACGCAGTCATTTCCCATTTTGTATGTGTGCAACTGATTGTTCCTTCCTAAGTGGGGTACTTGGCAATTGTCCTTATTGAATTTCATCCTATTTACTTCAGACCATTTCTCCAGTTTCTCCAGAGCATTTTGAATTTATCCTATCCTCCAAAGCACTTGCAACCCTGCCCAGCTTGGTATTGTCCGCAAAGTGTACTCTCTATCAAGGCCGGCTCTAACTTTTTTACTGCCCCAGGCAAAAAAGAAGAGAGACACCCTGCCGTACCCCCCCGCCCTGTGAGCGCTGCCGAAATCCCCCCCCCCAGCACCACGCCACCCGAAGCCCCGCCCCCCAGTGCCACGCTGCCCGAAGCCCCGTCCCCCCTCCGAGCACCGCCCAAAGCCCCGTCCCCCCTCCGAGCACCACGCCGCCCGAAGCTCCGAGCACCACACCGTCCAATCCAAAAATAAAAAATAAAAAATCGACTGCCGCCCTGCCCCAAGGTGCCACCCCAAGCACGTACTTGGTCGGCTGGTGCCTGGAGCCGGCCCTGCTCTCTATAGCATTATCTAAATCACTGGTGGGTTTTTTGTTTTTTTGCCCTGGGACGTGAGCCCAACCCCCCCATTTTCCCCTTTTGTCTGACTCCATGGCAACTGCTGATGACATCACTGACACCGAAGGGCTTCGGTGCTGATGTCACCCCCTGTTGTTGGGGAGATTCAGAACCAGCTGAGTTCATAGGCCCGATCCTGTGTTTGTGATACTGGTGTAAATCTGCTCGGAGGTTGGTGGAGTGACTCCTGATTGACCAGGGTGTAACGGAGAGCAGCAGTGAACCCAGGGTCAGTAAAAACCAGCACAACCTTTAAGACTGGTGCACGCCTGCCAGCAATAGGGAGCTATGAACAGGCGTAGCTGGGGAAGAAAGCAGAGGCCAGCCAATGAAGCACAGTGGGCCAGGAGAGGTGCCGAGGTGCTAAACAATCTGCTCCGGCCATCGGCATCAGGGCATTGGCTGCTCTGCTGGACGTCCGTCCTTAACTCCGATTTTGGGGCACAGTGGTGTGGATGGAGGGGGAAGGTGGGGCTGGAACCACCCCCTCGGTCCCCTGCTCACAATCAGAAGGCCAAGGTCTCAAACCCAGTCTGATTGCTGCCCTGTGCTGAGCCAGTTCTCTTGTATTTTGCGGGGACAGTCACAGCGGCCACCCCCAGACTGGTTTGTTGAGCGCCCTCCACTCTCTGCAGGACCTCACTGAAGGTATTGGAGCTGTGGCCACTTCCACCAAGGTGGAGTTTGGCCCTCTGGGTCACAGGACGAGGAAACAATCCAAAAGCGGGATCATCCCCATATAGCAGTGTGCAGAAAGGACCCTTCCCACTTGGCTGCCCTCCATCCTGCAGGCCGGGTGTGGTGGTGGTGGGGTCGGCCACCTGTGGGAAATGGGGTTGTGACAGGGTACCCCATAAGGCTTTATGGGGAGGGGGTGCTTATAAATGTACGTATGAC